CTCACTAATACCAGATTGTTACCTAGTGTCATGGTTTTTTCATCTCACTAATACCAGGTTGTAACCTAGTGTCATGGTTTTGTTGTCTCACTAATACCAGGTTGTAACCTAGTGTCATGGTTTTGTTGTCTCACTAATACCAGATTGTAACCTAGTGTCATGGTTTTGTTGTCTCACTAATACCAGGTTGTAACCTAGTGTCATGGTTTTTTCATCTCACTAATACCAGGTTGTAACCTAGTGTCATGGTTTTGTTGTCTCACTAATACCAGGTTGTAACCTAGTGTCATGGTTTTGTTGTCTCACTAATACCAGATTGTAACCTAGTGTCATGGTTTTGTTGTCTCACTATACCAGGTTTGTAACCTAGTGTCATGGTTTTGTTGTCTCACTAATACCAGGTTGTAACCTAGTGTCATGGTTTTGTTGTCTCACTAATACCAGGTTGTAACCTAGTGTCATGGTTTTGTTGTCTCACTAATACCAGGTTGTAACCTAGTGTCATGGTTTTGTTGTCTCACTAATACCAGGTTGTAACCTAGTGTCATGGGTTTTGTCATCTCACTAATACCAGATTGTAACCTAGTGTCATGGTTTTTGTCATCTCACTATATACCAGATTGTAACCTAGTGTCATGGTTTTGTTCATCTCACTAATACCAGGGTTGTAACCTAGTGTCATGGTTTTGTTGTCTCACTAATACCAGATTGTAACCTAGTGTCATGGTTTTTGTCATCTCACTAATACCAGGATTGTAACCTAGTGTCATGGTTTTGTCATCTCACTAATACCAGATTGTAACCTAGTGTCATGGTTTTGTCATCTCACTAATACCAGGTTGTTAACCTAGTGTCATGGTTTTGTTCATCTCACTATACCAGATTGTAACCTAGTGTCATGGTTTTTTGTCATCTCACTATACCAGATTATAACCTAGTGTCATGGTTTTGTCATCTCACTAATACCAGATTGTAACCTAGTGTCATGGTTTTGTCATCTCACTAATACCAGATTATAACCTAGTGTCATGGTTTTTTCATCTCACTAATACCAGATTGTAACCTAGTGTCATGGTTTTGTCGTCTCACTAATACCAGATTGTAACCTAGTGTCATGGTTTTGTCGTCTCACTAATACCAGATTGTAACCTAGTGTCATGGTTTTGTTGTCTCACTAATACCAGAGTGTAACCTAGTGTCATGGTTTTGTTCGTCTCACTAATACCAGGTTGTAACCTAGTGTCATCATTTCTGTATTTGTTTTGCCCTTCTTGGGTGGCTCGAGTGATGGATTTATCCTAACTTTTGCAGATTTTAGCTACACCATTTACCCACCCCTTTCTTGTTCTTCCCAGATGTTGTGCTATTAAAGGTCTCATATGCTGTTTGGTCTCGCTGCATTCTCACTAAATCGCCAAACACCATTTCATTCTTTTTTTGTCAGTATAATTCAGACACGATCTTATCCCAGATTTCTGTCTAATGCCAGTATTTGTAAGCCTGTCCCTTCTTGTGTTGTTTAGTAACCTTAGGGAGATAGTGTGTATGTACAAATATATTTGTATATACGTAAATATAATTTTAAAAAATTAATGTCTAGAAGGAAGGTAATGGGTCACCTTCACCCTGCCTGACTCAGTAATCTAGTTTATGTAAAGGTATCACACTTCACACTCCTTCGACAATATCTACCAAAGAACTAATCACAGCAATGATCAGATAACAACAATGTTTTATAGATATGTGTCTGAGAAGAATGGTGCTACATTGCGTGGCCAGGGGTTCTGGCTGCGATAAAATTAGACTGTTTCTGGTGCCATTGAAATTGGAACTCTGCAGAAAATAGGGATGAAAGTGTTTATGGGAATGTCTTGAGGGCTGTGATGTCGATTCCTAATTTAACATTCAACAACATATAAATATGTATTGGTAGATGTGTGTCTGTATTGACTGTTTCAGATTATGGCCAGGTTGGATGATGTAAACATTGGTAACAATGATACTCGATTTGTGAAGGTGTTATCATTCGCACCAGCTGGGTGAGTATTTCTAAGATGTCTGTGTTGTCATGTTTTTGTTACTATTCTTCTTGTGTTGCATGCACACCCATTTTACAAATCTTACTTATTTGTATGCAGATTGCTGGTTCCTTGCCTCTCAGGCAGATGCACTCTGACCTCGAAGGAAGCCCCCAGTTAGTCAACTCTTATGATATGCTTGTTGCAAGGCGGTGAATCTCTCATTGTATTCCACATGCTGTTGCCCCAAAACCCACATGGGGAGTAATTATATCATAACTGGAAGTGGATAGACAAAGTTGTCAATATAAATACTTTGTCTTCAATACTAGCAGGGGATAAACAAGTGTTAAATATAGAGAGAACTCTTTTGTTACTCAAAGTGGACAAAACGGTAGACGTTGTATTTACTTCATTGCTAATGGTGGATAGATGAAATAGATAAGAGGTAGACATATTTACCGGTATGACTGGTAGTGGGTAGACAGAATGATCAGTGGGGTAGACAAAAAGTAGTAAGATAAGAGGTAAATTTATTTACCGTTACAATAACTCTTTGGGCTCTCATTCAAAAAGTAGTAAGGTAAGAGGTAAATTTATTTACCGTTACAATAACTCTTTGGGCTCTCATTACTTGCAGTCTTCTCAAATGTACAGTGACATAATTCAACGTGTTGCATAAACAATGAACAATGGGAATGCCACACAGCTGATCGTTGTCAATGTTTATTAGTTCAGACAGTCATTTCTCGGCCAGTGCACTTAGAGGTAACACTGTCAAGGGTGACCAACGGCCACTGATAACAGCCTCAATAACTTAAGTCACTCAACGTTACCTTTACAGGATGATACATCACAACATTCCCATTTGAAATTTGTAATAATCCACACTAATAGTGAACACCAACATTCAGCCTTGACAAGATGTCAGACAAAACAAGAGTGCCAGGTTTTCACAATCAATCTGGTGCAAGCATTCCCTTGCGAGTAGAATCATTCAGCATTCAATCTTGCACTGTCAGACACACCATTCCAAGACACACACAAAATCATTCTGAGTTTAAGTAACCTGCTTCTGTCTCCGATTCTTGAACATTCTCTGTGTGATACATGTTTTCTCTTCCTATCACACTTTCAGCCAGTTCACATGTTTCTCTCGAATTATTCAAACATCACACTTCATATTCGATTCCATTCAGCCCAACTCAAACGCATAATTTATGTTAAGCATTTAACCTAATTTCTAAATGTGAACATAAATTAGCATGCAGAAAATGGCTCATCACAATGTTATTACTGGTAGTGGATAGACAAGTAGTCAATAAAAGTTACATTGGTAACAATTAGGGTTGTACCGAATAGTGATTTTCACTATTCGGCCAAATACGAATATTGGGACGAACTATTCGGCCGAATACGAATACGAATAGTGTATCATCACAATCAGGTGCCTTGCCAACTGGCGTGGGCGTTATGCCTCTCCACAATCTGCGATCTCCTGCAGCATGTATCAGTCCGTGTGCCGACACACCTCCATGCCATGCAACAAGACTGTCATGAATCTTCTCTGTCTTCCTCTATCCCTCCTTCCACAGATCTTTCTAGTTGTCACCACATGTTCTATTTTCGCTCTTCTCATAACATGGCCAAAAAATGACGACTGTCTCCTCTTATGTCTGTGATTAGTTGTCTTCGGGCTCCCGCCTCTTTCAAAACAATAGTTTGCTTGGCTGTTCGATGTAATATAAACGCACCTTCACATTCTCGTTAGCAATATCTTCAAATTTCTTCTTCTTCTTCTTCTTTGCGTTCACCAGCTGTACACTCTGGCGTAAAGTTCTGGTTTTTCGTCCACTTCTGGACTGCAGTCCTGCTCCAGAACCTGAGTGTTGTGTGTGCATCAGTTTTACAGATCTGATTCAATTGAATGCAGACTGCTGGTTCCTTGCCTCTCAGGCAGATGCACTCCGACTTCAAAGGAAGCTTCCCAGTTAGTGGGTCTATTCTTGTTTTCCCTACAATAGGGCCCCGGAACCCACACGGGGGATCTTCAAATTTGATTTGGGGGAAGACACCCTGAAAGAACGAAAAATGCATGAATTCTCTCTCTCTTTCTCTCTCTCTCTCTCTCTCTCTCTCTCTCTCTCTCTCTCTCTCTCTCTCTCTCTCTCTCTCTCTCCCTCCCTCCCTCTCTCTCCTTCTCTCTCTCTCTCTCTCTCTCTCTCACAGAGACACTCACACACACACACACACACAAGCGACAACAACAATAAAAAAAGAACGCATTGTCTTTAATTATAAGTTCTTACTTGACGAGGCTAACAGTTACTATTGTACAGACTAAATTTTCCACTTAAAAAATTTTAGCCAAAATGTAATCACAACATTACTTATCCGCTTCACCTTCACGGACACAGATGGAGGATCGGTCGCACCTCGAGATAAATACAAAGACAATTTTTAGCATGCTGCGGTAAGCATTTTATGCAGTATGATAAACTTTGAGAGCGAAACAGGGGGAAAAACTCTTTTTGACAGTGGCGAGTAAAGACAATTTAAATTTAGGTATCTTCATGCCTTCTTTAATAATGTCACAATTTATAGCCGACTTTTCTTGATTTTCGCCACCGCACCCCTGGCATACGCACCCAGTTTAAGAACCTCTGCTGTAATGCCTTGATTAGGTCAGCAGGCAAAGACCTTGAGAGCTTAGGTACCACGCAACCGGGTCGCAGTTTTCCCGCTACGACAAACTTAGGCATCAGCAACTATTGTTTTAAATAAAGAGTTATTTCAGTCCATCACAGTGTATGCAGAAACGGTTGTAACCACTATTCGTATTCGGTCCGACCGCAACTATTCGGCCGAATACCGAATAGTTATTAGGTCCACTATTCGGCTCCGAAGCGAATACGAAGCGAATATTCGATACAGCCCTAGTAACAATAGTTACAATGCAGCTTATAATATTATTCTTTTCTAATGGCCAGGATGGAAAAAAGAGCAAAGAGACAGGCCACCACTGCAAGCAATGGTGTAATAGCAACATTCGTCATTTACCTGGCCGATGTGAATATCACAAGAGAAATAATAAACGAATTCCTACGAGATGGTAATGCCACCATCTGCAATGGGTCATCCTGTCAGTATAAGGAACTGACCATCATTAGCTATCCACAAGTTGACAGCAAGGGTGAGTGACTGCATAATTTTGGTTGTAATTTGCCCAGTTGTCACTACGTGTTTTAAATGTCAGTAGTTGTGGTGTTTTCATCACTCAGTCACTCTAGTTGAGAAATCTTATACAATCTGAGGAATTTAAAAAATGGGGGGGGGGTGGCTTTGTTTTAATCCTGGCAGCAAACAGTGTATTCATCTTATTCATATGCTTGAGGGATGTAAGGTGTGGATGCTGAATTTCTATCATCTCAATCATATGATTGAGGGATGTAAGTTGTGGATGCTGAATTTCTATCATCTCAATCATATGATTGAGGGATGTAAGTTGTGGATGCTGAATTTCTATCATCTCATTCATATGATTGAGGGATGTAAGGTTTGGATGCTGAATTTCTATCATCTCAATCATATGATTGAGGCATGTAAGTTGTGGATGCTGAATTTCTATCATCTCAATCATATGACTGAGGGATGTAAGTTGTGGATGCTGAATTTCTATCATCTCAATCATATGATTGGGGGATGTAAGGTTTGGATGCTGAATTTCTATCATCTCAATCATATGATTGAGGGATGTAAATTGTGGATGCTGAATTTCTATCATCTCAATCATATGATTGAGGGATGTAAGTTGTGGATGCTGAATTTCTATCGTCTCAGTCATATGATTGAGGGATGTAAGTTGTGGATGCTGAATTTCTATCATCTAAATCATATGATTGAGGGATGTAAGATATGGATGCTGAATTTCTATCATCTCAATCATATGATTGAGGGATGTAAGTTGTGGATGCTGAATTTCTATCATCTCAATCATATGATTGAGGGATGTAAGGTTTGGATGCTGAATTTCTATCATCTCATTCATATAATTGAGGGATGTAAGTTGTGGATGCTGAATTTCTATCATCTCAATCATATGACTGAGGGATGTAAGTTGAGGATGCTGAATTTCTATCATCTCAATCATATGATTGAGGGATTTAAGTTGTGGATGCTGAATTTCTATCATCTCAATCATATGATTATCTCATTCATATGATTGAGGGATGTAAGTTGTGGATGCTGAATTTCTATCATCTCAATCATAGGATTGAGGGATGTAAGTTGTGGATGCTCAATTTCTATCATCTCAATCATATGACTGAGGGATGTAAGTTGAGGATGCTGAATTTCTATCAATTCATTCATATGATTGAGGGATGTAAGTTGTGGATGCTGAATTTCTATCATCTCATTCATATGATTGAGGGATGTAAGGTTTGGATGCTGAATTTCTATCATCTCAATCCTATGATTGAGGGATGTAAGTTGCGGATGCTGAATTTCTATCATCTCAATCATATTATTGAGGGATGTAAGTTGTGGATGCTGAATTTCTATCATCTCAGTCATATGATTGAGGGATGTAAGGTTTGGATGCTGAATTTCTATCATCCCAATCATATGATTGAGGAATGTAAGTTGTGGATGCTGAATTTCTATCATCTCAATCATATGATTGAGGAATGTAAGTTGTGGAAGCTGAATTTCTATCATCTCAATCATATGAGTGAGGGATGTAAGTTGTGGATGCTGAATTTCTATCATCTCAATCATATGATTGAGGGATGTAAGTTGTGGATGCTGAATTTCTATCATCTCAATCATATGATTGAGGTATGTAAGTTGTGGATGCTGAATTTCTATCATCTCAATCATATGATTGAGGGATGTAAGTTGTGGATGCTGAATTTCTATCATCTCAATCATATGATTGAGGGATGTAAGATTTGGATGCTGAATTTCTATCATCTCAGTCATATGATTGAGGGATGTAAGTTGTGGATGCTGAATTTCTATCATCTCAATCATATGATTGAGGGATGTAAGGTTTGGATGCTGAATTTCTATCATCTCATTCATATGATTGAGGGATGTAAGTTGTGGATGCTGAATTTCTATCATCTTAATCATATTATTGAGGGATTTAAGTTGTGGATGCTGAATTTCTATCATCTCAATCATATGACTGAGGGATGTAAGTTGAGGATGCTGAATTTCTATAATCTCAATCATATGATTGAGGGATGTAAGTTGTGGATGCTGAATTTCTATCATCTCAATCATATGATTATCTCATTCATATGATTGAGGGATTAAGTTGTGGATGCTGAATTTCTATCATCTCAATCATATGATTGAGGGATGTAAGTTGTGGATGCTGAATTTCTATCATCTTAATCATATGACTGAGGGATGTAAGTTGAGGATGCTGAATTTCTATCATCTCAATCATATGATTGAGGGATGTAAGTTGTGGATGCTGAATTTCTATCATCTCAATCATATGAATGAGGGATGTAAGTTGTGGATGCTGAATTTCTATCATCTCAATCATATTATTGAGGGATGTAAGTTGAGGATGCTGAATTTCTATCATCTCAATCATATGATTGAGGGATGTAAGTTGTGGATGCTGAATTTCTATCATCTTAATCATATGACTGAGGGATGTAAGTTGAGGATGCTGAATTTCTATCATCTCAATCATATGATTGAGGGATGTAAGTTGTGGATGCTGAATTTCTATCATCTCAATCATATGAATGAGGGATGTAAGTTGTGGATGCTGAATTTCTATCATCTCAATCATATTATTGAGGGATGTAAGTTGAGGATGCTGAATTTCTATCATCTCAATCATATGATTGAGGGATGTAAGTTGTGGATGCTGAATTTCTATAATCAGAATGGAGAAAGAGTAACCACAATCAGAAAAATGTAAATATCAGATATTAATATTGCAAAGTAGAATAATTACAATAAGCCAGAAAACTTTAAGTATTCTCAAAGATAGATAACACAATCTGATTATTTGAAAATTACACTCAAAGTATATGATATAAATACTTCTAATATATAATCTTCAAATTTGTTATAATCAATTCATAATCTCTACAATAGACAAAGGTATTCTTCTTATTCTCCTTGCCGTGAGGTGTTGGAAGTCATGTCATCCACAGCCTTTTGTCAGCCTTTTGTTAGTTCTGACACAGATGATCTACCATGCCATGATGTCAAACTATACAGCATCATCTCTGTCGGTCTCCCTCTGCATTTATCCTTTCTAACTGTCCCACTGTCATGACTGTCATCCAGTTTTCTCCTTCTAATGACATGACCAAAGAATGTAGATTGTCTCCTTCTGATGGGGGCAATCAGTTCTCTTCATCAGTCAGTTTCTTTCCAGAAATCTTTATTGCTGTTTTATTGTCTTAGGTACTCTCATCATTCATCTATAAAATTTCCACTCCTCTGCTTCCACATAATTTTCACTAAATGTTCAATTGTCCATGATTCACTTCCATATATCAGGCTATGATATAAATAGCTCTTGAGAATTTTCTTTCAAACTACAACAACATACATTTTCAGTATTCCACTTACTTTTAGTCAGTTTTCTGATTCAATGCAATTTTTTTTTTAAGCAAACCTTTGCGACTATCCAGAAATCCACAAATGTGATAAGTCAACAACTACTTGTGAACAGTCTGGACAACCACCAGTAACCTATTGCAATTGTAAAAAGGGTTTCGAGCCCTTCCCGTCAGATAATCATATCTGTCGTGGTATGTATCTGTCATTGTCAATATTTTCTCTGTTATTTGTTTGAGTTTTCTTTGTGGTTTGGCTAACTAGCAAGAATGCAGCCAGACCAAACTGTTGATGAGACCACCTACGGAAGAATATCTGGGCAGAAGGCAAGATGGAGACCATGGAAGAGATGGATAGATACCTGCAAGAAAGATGAACAAAAACCATCACTCAAGAAACTTGAGAAGCTTAAGGCAAATGCAGAAGAACCATGATACTGGTCTGCAGTCTGGTAACAATCTGTTGACAAAAGAAGAAAAAGAATATTTTTTTGTTAAAAGCCAGAGAAAAATTAATCTGTTTGTATTGTTCGATTGTTTCCAGTTAACAAAATCTCACCTTACTACTGCCTTATCTTGTTTCCAGTAAACAAGATCATACCTTACTGCTGCCTTATCTTGTTTCCAGTAAACAAGATCACACCTTACTGCTGCCTTACCTAGTTTCCAAAAAACAAGATATCTCCTTACTACTGCCTTATCTTGTTTCCAGTAAACAAGATCACACCTTACTGCTGCCTTATCTTGTTTCCAGTAAACAAGATCACACCTTACTGCTGCCTTATCTAGTTTCCAAAAAACAAGATCTCACCTTAGTGCTGCTTATCTAATTTCCAGGGAACAAGATCTTATCTAACTGCAGTGCTCTTAAAGTCAGTAACTTCTTCTGTGTTCACCTATAAAAGGGCAGTTGACATGTTGTGTTGTGATTGACAGCTAGACTAGGATGTCTGTGTCTTTCAGCCCACCATATGATTTTAGCGAACCCCTAATTAGTCGTCTTTTACATTCTTATAAAGAGGCAGTGTGTCTAATTCACCACACCCACCTTTTGGGCCCTAGAACCCATACAAGGATACCTGGTATCAACTGTTTAGGTAAGTCTTGTAGGTGGGGAAACTGGGAATAAAAGCATTATATCATTATATATTTCATATCTTAGATATCGATGAGTGTGCAAACAATGCTACAAATTTTTGCCCTGAGCCAAGTAAATGCATCAATGATCCACCAGGCAGCTTCACCTGCCCCTGTAATGAGGGACAGTATTGGGACACAAACAACAGAACATGTGCTGGTAGGTAAATGTTTGTTTTATCTGTCTGTTTATTATAAATCTGGATTTGATTTGATTCAAGAACCGACATCACAGCACTCGGGGCATTCCCATAAGCGCTCCGTCCTCATCTTCAACAGCCAGTGAAGAGTTCCAATACTAATGGTGCCAGTAGCATTCTGATTAAACATCCGTCTTGCCTTTCCTCTGAGCCTCGAGCTTCTGCCAGAACCTCTCGTCACCCCCACTGCATCAATCTCACCAGACTGTGGTGATCCACCTGCTCCCCTGAACTGTACATGCTCTCCCACAAGGCACTAACCACGCCTGCCTTATCATGTATCAGTATTCCACCAAGTTGTGCAGAGCCAGCCAGTCTGTCCGCCTGTCCATTTCCCAACACACCGGCATGCCCCGGTGAAAAAATCCAGATAATACTCCTTATCCATGTCCTCCGCAGCAAAGCATACCACTCTGCACGAAATCTGGATTCATTTGAGTAAAGATTTAATATCAAAGCATTCAGGACACGCCCATATTAGCTCCACCTCCCTTCCCAACAACCAGCGAAGGGTCTCAATACTGATGGTACTTGTGCTTATTAAGTTGTCATTTATTATAAAGACATCTCTATAGTAAGGTGAAAGAAGTGACTTGGTTACAACGTCTTTTGCACCTTTCAGCCCAAGCATCAAATTTCAACAACAAAACTCTGAATGTATGAGGTGGACTTTTTGGTGGGAAATCAGTTTAACAAACACTTAAAAACAGCGCATAGCAAATAGCAAACTGGCAAAATAAATAGATTAAAAAATAATATGCCAGTCTCTGTTAACTGAATGTCCCAACCAAACACCAATAACAATCATAGGGATCATAGCATTAGAAATTAGTCTAATATTTCAGTTTCACACAGGCCAGAATCAATGACTATCTTCTTCTTCTTCATCTTCTTCTTCTTCTTCTTCTTCTTCTTCTTCTTCTTCTTCTTCTTCTTCTTCTTCTTCTTCTTCTTCTTCTTCTTCTTCTTCTTCTTCTTCTTCTTCTTCTTCATGTTCACCAGCTGTAAACTCTGGCAGAAAGTTATAATTGTTCAACCACTGCAGTCCTATTCTAGAACCTGAGTGTTGTGTGCGTACCCATTTTACAGATCTGACTCATCTGTATGCAGACTTCTGGTTTCTTGCCTCTCAGGCAGATGCACTCCGAATTTGAAGGAAGCTGCCAATTAGTCGACTCTTAAGACATGCTTTTGGGTAGGCAGTGGGTCTATTCTTGTTTTCCCTATAATACAATAGGGCCCTGGAACCCACAATGACCATTTGAAGAATATTAATTCCTGACAGGTACCTCCTCAGATGCCCTGCACTTTCCCCAGACAGGGGAAAGATACTACAGCTGACTCCATGAGTTGCGCACCAGACAGGGGAAAGCTGCTACAGCTGACTCCATGAGTTGCACACCAGACAGGGGAAAAGCTGCTACAGCTGACTCCATGAGTTGCACACCAGACAGGGGAAAGCTGCTACAGCTGACTCCATGAGTTGCACACCAGACAGGGGAAAGCTGCTACAGCTGACTCCATGAGTTGCACACCAGACAGGGGAAAGCTGCTACAGCTGACTCCATGAGTTGCGCACCAGACAGGGGAAAGCTGCTACAGCTGACTCCATGAGTTGCACACCAGACAGGGGAAAGCTGCTACAGCTGACTTCATGAGTTGCACACCAGACTGCAGGTCTCTAGAACAGCTGTAGAGGATGTGCAAATTTAGGAGAATGTCTTAGGGTTGCCAAAAGTAGACTTGTCAGCTGCAGCAACAAGAAAAATATGTGTGATGATATTGTTGTACATGGCAAATGTCTCCTAGTGTTCACACCCCCCCCCCCCACTTCCCTTTTCCCATTAATTACAAATGGGTAAGAAAAACTATTTTCTTTTTCTTCTTCTGTGTGTTTACTTTTAAAAGGAACTTGCACATTATGTTGCGGTTTACTGCTAGACTGTGATATCTAGGGCTTTAGGTACAACATATCCAATTTTAGCTGAACCCTAATTACCTTAATTAGTTGTCTTTCACAACCTGCTTGTTGGGGAGAAGGAGGCAGTGGGTCTCTTTTTTCCCCCTCCAAAATAGGGCACTGAAACCCACAAGAGAAAAACTGCATTTTTTTTTTATTAACCCTCTTAGCACGGACGGACCGATTATCGGCCGGCGGAGGTCTGGCCAAAAACACGGAACGGCCGATCATCGGCCCGATTGTGTTTCGCCTCGAACAGCTAAGAAATCTCCTATTTTGAAACACTGAAAGTGATTCATTTATATTAACTGCTGTATCAGGCTTTATTGTTGGACTTTCGAGTGTTTGGTATCGATGTGAAAATTGTTGTTGAATTTTTTAGATAGTGACCTGAACCGCCCCCCCCCCCCCTGACTCGTATGTTTCTGCCCCTAAACTTGATGTTGATAAAATATTTGAATCAAGCGATGACACTAACTCTGTTGATACTGATGCAGGATTTAGTGTTAGTAGTAATAGTGCGAATCAGATGGGGACGCTGTTTAAACCACAGCCCAACCATGGCTCAGGGTATATCCACCCGAAGGTGTTGACACTCCGGCACATCCATTTCTTGTGCTGACTGATGGTAAAAAACACATGTCACCTAAAGATATTATTGCTGTTTCATATATATATACCTGTTTTTGACTATTGAATTGCTTACAACATTTGCAAAAAAGGCCAAAGATCAATAAAAAGATTTCAAATAAAAAAAAGTTTTGTTTTTAGTTTTATGTTTCAAGCATTGAAGTTGAAAAAATTCAAATTCATATTTTCTATTTTAAGATATGCAAATGAGATAATTTGCATATACATCAATTAATTTTAAGGATATTGTGAAAATCATGAACTACAATCTATATCCTTCAAATAGATATATTATTTCATGGGGGTCAGAATAACAGAATTCTGTCAAAAAAATTAAATAAAGTAATAACCAAATTTACTGAAAAAATGCTCCGTGTTTTTGGCTAGACCTCTGAAAAACTTCCCGTGCTAAAAGGGTTAAGATACTTACCATTATCAAATAAATTAACTGGATTTTTAATTTAATTAATAACTGACTTTTATTAACAGCTGATGGATGCACTGCCATGCCTTGCAAAAATGGTGTCTGCTTTTCTTTGAAAAATTCAACAAGCTTTGCTTGCAAGTAAGTACAATGTACTGGATAAATCAAGTAAACATTTTACTGTTGTAATATGAAGTCTTTTTCTTTGTATTCAACAGCGGTAAACTCCGGTGAAAAGTTATAGTTGTATGTTCACTTCTGGACTTATCTTGTTCCAGAAATTGAGTTTTGCATGCCCTTCTATTGTACAGATCTGGCTTATTTATATGCAGAATGTTGGTTCCTTGCCTCTCATGAAAATGCATTCTGACTTCAAAAGAAACATTCCTAATTAGTTTATTTTACAACAGTCTTGTTAGCAGGGTAATGAGTCTATTCCCTCCCTCCCACAATGGGGCCCTGGAGGTCCTGGAACCCACATGGGGATAAAATAAAGTCATATGCTGGAAATATTTTAATTTAGAGATCAGAAAAAGAATGCTTACAAGCTGTATGTAGCCCATTCATTTCAACATGTTACTATGATTCTTCTACCTGTAGTCCATGTTATGTAGCATTGGTCACCATGATCTGTACACAGCCTCCTATCTTGTATGCTGCCAACAATTTATGTTGTATAAAAAAAAAAAAACATGACAAACTGGCATGTTTTCTTTATAAACAAAAACAAACTTGACTAGGTCAGGAAGGGAAAAAACAACAGCAACAACTCTGCCATGTAGGAAGGTGGGTTTCGGCACCTTAGGTGTCATCTCTGAGGAAAATGGCAAAGAATGTGTTTTTAAAATAGAATGTGTGTGTAGGTGGGGGAGCTGGGGGAGGGGTGACCGTAAATGCTCCACACTGGGTACCACCTGAGCTAACTGCGCCACTGACTAGCTATACTAGGACAGTTCATAAATAGCACTCATAGAAAAAGAATGAAGAGTACATGATAGTTAATAAATGTCTGCGCGCATGAGTATGTGTATGCTTGCAATCATAATGAATATATTCTTGAAAATTTTATTTAATGTAATCTACTAAACGGTTCTTTGACAAGAAATAAATGATCTGACCTGTTTGTCCTCAGATGTAACTCCGGCTGGGAAGGAAGTTTTTGTGAAAATGAAGATGCTGAAGCTTATCGTGAGTAGTTATTTGTTTGCTGTTTACATTTATCTGTGTTTGTTTCTAATGCAGTAGGCAACTTATAGACCATGAGCAAAAAGTGGTGATGGTACTGTTGTTGTACAATCTTATCAATCAAGTTGTTCTCTCTTATAAATTCTTCTTAACTTTCTTTTTTACCACTTTTGGTGTAGAGGGAGATTTTTTTTTTAAATCCAGAAACCACGAGTTCTTAACCCTTTGGCTCAGTACTATGGATATCGTAAACCTTCGCCTTGATTCCATGATAGGTACCGTAAATCTGGGAGAAATGTGGTTTCTGGTCTCGCCAATAAACACATTGTACTGTTGTAGAGTTTATCTGATATAATTTGTTCATCTTGTTCTTTGTCTGCCCTATATTCTTCCTCCATCTTCTCTTTTGGTGGATACCTAGTATGGTATGGCATCACAAGGCATTCTGTCTAAGGCATTCTCTCCAAGCAGGCAAACCATTTGATTTGCTTGCTGTCTTTGAATGTAATTTAGAATTGGTTATTTGCCAACTTTTTCTGTTTTGACCTTATTCCTCATTTAATCTCTTTTGGTCACTCCTGAAACCATGGTTACTAATTTTCAGTTCAGGTGTTTTTTTTTTTTTTTAGTGAGTGATGATGTCTGGCCCTGTCTTATGCAGTGTGTGTGAGTGGTGACGTCTGGCACTGTCTTATGCTGTGTGTGAGTGATGATGTCTGGCACTGTCTTATGCTGTGTGTGTGAGTGATGATGTCTGGCACTGTCTTAAGCTGTGTGTGAGTGATGACGTGTGGCACTGTCTTATGCTGTGTGTGAGTGATGATGTCTGGCACTGTCTTATGCTGTGTGTGAGTGATGATGTCTGGCACTGTCTTATGCTGTGTGTGAGTGATGACGTGTGGCACTGTTTTATGCTGTGTGTGAGTGGTGACGTCTAGCACTGTCTTATGCTGTGTGTGAGTGATGTCTGGCACTGTCTTATGCTGTGTGTGTGAGTGATGATGTCTGGCACTGTCTTAAGCTGTGTGTGTGATGATGTCTGACACTGTCTTATGCTGTGTGTGTGAGTGGTGACATCTGGCACTTTGTTGTCATTCTTGCAGACAACATACTTATTTCATTCAAACGCATGACATTACCAATGCTGAATGCAAGGCTTGTGTGCTGATTATTGATCACAGTTTGGGGGATCTGGAACTTTAACCCCTTTAGCCTCAGAAATACTTTGAAAAGGGCAGGAACCCATGGCAAGTCCTGATAAAAATTACTTTTTTTTTTAAATCTAGTAAATTTGTCTTTTACATTTATTTATTGATATTTAAAGGACAAATGTATTCTGTCTTCAAAGAAAACACCCTTAATTAGTTGCCTTCTGTGACATGCTTGTTAGGGGAGGAGGCAGTCGCTCTATTCTTTTGTTTCCCAAAATGGGATCCCGTGACCCAGAAGGGGAAGACTGAAATTGATGTAGAGACTTTTGGTCCTGATTGGTTACTGAGGTGCAAGACTGAAACTTCATGTTCTCCATGAATTTTAAACATCATGAACAGTCTCTTAACCAGGGCTGTTCAATTAAGTTTACTCAGGTGCCAAAATGTTGAAAATGGGGATCCTTGCGAGACAGAGGCCAGTATATTCTATGCCCCAGCATAGAAAGATTGTTTATAAGATACAACTGGCAGTGATCCGTGGGCCACTTATTAGGCCTCTATGGGCCAGATTTGGCCTGCTGGCCACCATTTGAATAGCCCTACTCTAAATCAATACCCAAAGTGAACTTCTTTGCTTCAAATTCACACAAAAAATGTACCTACCTTTTATCAGTAAAAAAAAAAACATATTTCCAAGGTCTATGTAGAATAATCCTTGAACATACAGAAACATTTTATTCTCTTCCTAACTTTCAATTTTCATATATTGAAAAATAAAATTTCAAAATTTGTTTGACAGTTTGTAATGAAGTCTTGATATCACCCATATAGCTTAACATTCATTCTATCAAGTAAAATTACTTTGTGTGTGTGTGTGTGAGAGAGTGTGTGTGTGTGTGTGTGCATGCGTGCGTGGGTGTGGGTGGGAGGGGGTTGCATTTGGTCAGTATGAATCCTTATTTTGATGTATACTGTTTTCTCCCGGGCGGGTTCCAGGGCCCTTGGGGGGAGGGGGGGGGGGGAGTTTGTAGACCCACTGCCCCCTAATAAACATGTTGTTAAAGGTTAGTAATTAGTGAAACCAGATGTGTCAGGTTAAAAGAAGTGGATATCACAGCTAATTGTGAATACAACTTGTAAGGGTGAACACAACTTGAAAGGGTGAACACAACTTGTAAGGGTGAACACAACTTGTAAGGGTGAACACAACTTGTAAGGGTGAACTCAACTTGTAAGGGTGAACACAACTTGTAAGGGTGAACACAACTTGTAAGGGTGAACACAACTTGTAAGGGTGAACACAACTTGTAAGGGTGAACACAACTTGTAAGGGTGAACACAACTTGTAAGGGTGAACACAACTTGTAAGGGTGAACACAACTTGTAAGGGTGAACACAACTTGTAAGGGTGAACACAGATGATAAAAAGTAGTAGTGGTAATCTGTGGTGTTCAAAAGCCATTGTGGTGTCAATTGACATTAATTAAGTACTGGTGATTTATTTTTCAGGGCTGAAAGTGGCAGTCATATGTGTCAGCGTTATCCTGGGTGTCTTCTGTCTGGTGCTGCTGATCATCCTCATTGTTATCTGTGTAAGACAACACAGGCAAGTCAAATATGCTCCTTAAAGTCACATACATGTTCCCTTCTGTTGCAGCATGTTGTAGCCACATAGATGTTCCTTTCTGTTAAAGCATGGCATTACAACAGGGTTGTCTCCTGCAGGGTATACCTGGCTACCTTCAGGGCATACCTGGCTACCTTCAGCAACAGAAAATTAGAGAATTGGCTGACAATTTGTTAAATAGACTTGGACTTCATTATTTTTAAACACTTAAAATCTGGTACCTTTGTGATCTAGTTTCATATAGAGGCTGCATCTGATTCACTACTGAAAATGCCTATAATGTTGATGAAGTTTTAACATTATTAACAGAGAGCATGGAAACTAACAAATCTGTAAAAAATAATTTATGAATATACAGTACATCAAGTGACTTATTTAATAATCCAAGAATACCCAAAATGCAGAAAAAAGCATTTTAAACTTTTGATGATGTGAATATTCTTGGATATTTATTCATTGTATTTTGTTTTGTCTATTTTGTACATATAGTGCACTGCCATCTGGGAATATTTTAATGGCTTAAGTAAATTTATCTTCATTATCTTTATAGTTTTGTATCATTGCATGCATTTTCTTTGTTTACCTCACTGGTGGCAGTGAGGTGCTTTATGAAAAATCAATACTGGTCATGCATTATATGCCCTGGGTAGGGTGACCATAAGTGCCATTTTCCCTAGATATGGTGACCATAAGTGCCATTTTCGCTGGATAAGGTGACCATAAGTGCCATTTTCCCTGGATAAGGTGACCATAAGTGCCATTTTCGCTGGGACAGTATCATTTCTAAGGTAGACTTAGACCATCCCATTGATACTCATCATAGATTGGGAAAATTGAATTTTTTTTTTGGGGGGGGGGGGGGGGGGTGGGGGTTGTTTTGTTTTTGGAGTACAATCTGAGCCTACCTAATAAAACAATACTGTCCCGATGATATAGTCACCCTAGCCCTAGGTGACTTATTAGTTGCAGGCAGAAGAGTCATACAGTTAATTTTTAAAAGTAACAGATAAGATGGTTTGGCCATCTGACATGAATGCCCGAGACCAGCTGCCACAGAAAGTCACACTGAAGAAATTTAATGAACACTGGGCAAAGGAAAGATCACACACACACAAAAATAACAACATCAAGAGCAGTCTCAAAGAAATAAAGATCAGCTTATGCAAATCATTAGAAATAGCATACAGACAATCCTGACAGCCCCCCCCCCCCCTCCCCCCCCCCCCCCCCCCCCCCAATCCCCTTTTCTGGGCAGCTCCTCATATTTCATAAGGTAACTAGGGAAAGAGAAGAACAAGAAAGAAGTTGAGCCATGGAAGAGAAGTGGCTAGCATGCTAATCACCTGGCTAAATGTTTAAATCTACTAGTCAGATTTTTAAATTTACTGACCAAATGTTTAAATCTACTGGCCAAATGTTTAAATCTACTAACCAAATTTTTAAATTTACTGACCAAATGTTTAAATCTACTGGCCAAATGTTTAAATCTACTAACCAAATGTTTAAATCTAACTGAGGCAGGGACTTTTTTTTTCTGAATGTATCCGGGCTCTTAGGCTGGCCCAGTCTAAAACTGTACCAAGAAATGTCATGGGAAGTAAAGGCAGCCGGAATGATATTGACCACACTGGGTTTAATTAATTAGGCAATCATAATCATAGACCCTGAAGATGCCTCAAGATGCAGAAAAAAAACTCTTTCACTGTCTTCTAATTACGTGTAGATATACGCAAAGTAATCTACCCTATTTAAGCTAGTGGCACAATGGGCACAAGATGCTGTTTAGATGTATGTAATTAAATATGTCTGTCTGTTTGAGAACTGGTGATCTTTGTGAATACTTTATGATCCGGTTTTTGTTAGTTTACTTGCCCTAACATACACACACACACACACACACACACACACACACATACACATACAAACACATATATGCATCACATTTTTCATCCTTGTGTGCAGATATCTGTAAAAATATTCTTCTAGTTGTTATCACCTGTGGAACAAAGACACTTCCTTCCTCATCTACTGAAGCTACCCCTTTTCATGCACTCCTCTCACTTTTTTTCTGTCTTTTTTGGTCATACAATGGTTTCCATACTTGGCTGCTGACCTCGCAGTCAAAAATTCAGATCTCTTTCTTCTTTTTCTTCTTCTTCTTCTACATCCACACTTAAAATGGTAATTAGCACATTGTGTTGTGGGTTGCCGATAGGCTGTGATATTTGCACCTGTTGGTCCAACAGATCCGATTTTGATGAACTCCTAATTAGGCATATTTTATGGCATGATTGTTAGAGACAATGGATCTGACGCCCCTCCCCCCCCCCTTTTTCCCAAATGGAGAAACCCACATAGGGAAAATTCTTATCAAAAGCCTAAAAATTATCAGAAGAATATTCCTTTGAAGTCGGAATGCATCTGCCTGAGAGGCAAGGAACCAACAGTCTGCATACAAATGAATCAGATCTGTGAAATAGATATACATGTAACATTCATGTTCTCGAATAAGACTGTAGACCGGAAGTGGATGAACAACCAGACCTTTCTGTCAGAGTTTACAGCTGGTGAACGCGAAGAAGAAGAAGAAGATAAGAAGAATGATGAAAGTGAACCAAATTAGTTCACAGACACAAAAAGCAGATGCCATAACTCTAAGCCACATTCCCATTGTTGTTTTGCTTACCATTGTTGCTTATCACGTGCCACCTCCTGCTGCACAAACTTTCACCCAAACAAATTACCCATAAAGCTTCCCTGTGTGATTTCCAGGGCTCTATTATGGGGAAAACATGAATAGACCTACTGCCTCCCCAGCAAGCATGTAGTGAGAGTCAGCTAATTGATGGCTTCCTTCAAAGTCAGAGTGTTTCTGATTGAGCTGCAAGGAACAACCAAATGCACACAAATAAGCCAGTAAAAAGTATGTACATGCAAAACTCAGGCCCTGGTACGAAGCCAGATTCCAGGTGGATGAACAACCAGGACTTTCCGCCGGAGCTAAGAGCTGGTGAAAAAGAAGAAGAAGAAGATCCACATAGCTTTCAGAAGCTGCCTTCGGGTTTAAAAAGACTTAAAAAGACTAAGTAGTATGTAGATAGGTAAGTTGTACCCCACCAGGACATCACACAAGGAATAAACACCTAGTGACACAAAGTTTCACCATGCGGATGAGGATCACACATGGAGAGGTCCCCGAAACCCCTTTCAGCCGTCAGGCCATATTTAAGGCCCGGCTATACTTAGGGCCCCCAGCAAAAGCCTGGGTGGGGCTTCAAAATAACTAAAAATTGCATCCCACATGGGGGACGATGACTCAGTAGTTTATACATTTGATAAATAACATACAAGTGATTTATACAGATTTTGATGGAAAAACATTTTTCGTCAGTTGTTTTTTTTTTTAAATGACAGAAAAGATTTCACTCATAATTTCACTTCCTAAAGCCGGGTGGTAAAAAAAATATGTTAGCATATTAAATAAGAGTTAGTAATAAAAATAAGCATTCAGATTTTACAAAGGATAGCAAGTTAATTAATTCTTTACATACCGTCACTCTTAGTATGTGGTGAGCCACCAAGCAGAGTGAGAATTCCTGGAAACAATTTTATTTGCTGGGTGTTTTTAGAATGTTCAGTTATTTAACTAAGCAAAGACTGATAGTTCTGGAATATTTATAAATGTAAAGAGTGTTATTTTCATTGTATGCCTGCAGTTTGGTCAGATTTAGCACTTTATTCTATGGATTAAATCTGGCCAATACGTTTTTTCTATTTGCCAGATTTGACACACTTTTTCTATAAGCCAGATTTGGTGCGATTTTTTTTAAAGGCCAGCTTTGACAGTTTTTCTATAGGCCAGATTTCGTACACTAATCTTATGGCAAGGTTGCCAAAATGTGTATTGTGTCAAGATTTTGAGTTTCTGTATGGTGGTTAGCTTCAGAGTAATATTTTTAATACTTGGACATGATATACTTAATTTGTGATAACATTAGGTACAACTTGTGTATGGTAAGATTCGATACATTGGTTTTGTGGTAAGATTTGCAGTACCTTTGCTGTAATAAGATAAAGAACCATTCTTCTACTGTGGTAAAATTTGAAGCCATTGTATTGTGGGATTTGGTGCTAGTATTCCCTGGTAATGTTCACCAGCTGAAAACACACTTCATTAGCTATTAAGGTAAAACAGATTTGAAGAAAATAAAACATGACAGACACCTCTGTGTCTGGACAAGACACTGCCTAGAGTCTCAAAGACATGTTTCTAATGAACACTTTAGCTTCAGCTTTTTAAAAAAAATTAGCATGGAATGTACTTTTCTTTTCCATATGTAATCTTGTAATGCTGGCATACCAATATTTATTTTAGTTAATTCTTTATGAGTTGTTTTTCATTAATTATTTTATTTATTTCTATTTTGTTGCACACTGTAGGAATGGTTCTGACTGGTAATGTGATTTTCGTTTTTTCTTTATGTAAATTCATATGTAAATTAATTAATATTCCAACACTTACATGTTTTCATATTGGCAATCTTAATGCTTGTCTGTGCATATAAATATGTAAAGTAACGCACCCTTAGTAATGTAATGCACAGCAAATTAGCACAAAGTAAACTGTAAAATTACAGTTGGTTGTGCCTTCCTGGAGTAACATATTTCATTTATTGAATATGTGCACACAATTGTCCTCATATATATATATATATATAAATATATATATAATTTGCATTGTTCCCAGTGAAATTCACCTGAGTTTGGTAAATTTACATGTGACATATGCATTAGTTTTATTGGGGTTTTACAAGTTTAGAAAAAAAATATGTACTAGCATTGGAACACGCTGAAAGACATACAGTCATTCCCGTTCTTCTCTTTCATTCTGTCTCTCTAATTTGTAGCCCTTTGAAAATAAAGTTTGTTCATTTGTTTTTCCCTCTCTCTCTCTCTCTCTCTCTCTCTCTCTCTCTCTCTCTCTCTCTCTCTCTCTCTCTC